TGCTGTTTTTGGGTGGAGTGTTCCATACATGTGTGTCACATCTAGTTGGTTTTATAGTGTTGCAAAACCCTACATTTCCTTATTGATCTTCTGTCTAGGTGCTCTATCCATTATTGAAAATGAACTATTAAAATATTAAAATATCCAACTATTATTGTAGAACTGTGCATTTTTTCCTTCAGTTCTGTCAGTTTTTACTTCCTACATTTTGGAGTTCTCTTGTTAGGTGTACACATGTTTGTAACTGTTACATATTATTGATGGATTGACTCTCTTATCAACATATAATGTTCATCTTTGTCTCTCTCTTTTCTCTTAGTGGATTAAATATTTTATTTTTTCCCAGCTTTACTAAGGTATGATTGCCAGATAAAAATTGTATATATTTATACAATGGAATACTCCTCAGCCATAAAAAAAGACAAAATTGTCCCATTCGCTACAGCATGGATGGACCTGAAGGGTATTATGTTAAGTGAAATAAGCCAGCCAGAGAAAGACAAACATCGTATGATTTTACTCATATGTGGAAGATAAACTAACACATGGACAGAGAGAACAGTTTGGTGGTTACCAGGGGGAAGTGTTTGGGGGGGGCACAAGGGGTGAAGGGACACATTTATATGGTGACTGAAAAATAATAATGTACCACTGAAATTTCACAATGTTATAAACTATTATGACCTGAATACAAAAATTGTATATATTTAAGATGAACAATGTGATGTTTTGATATACGTATCCATTGTGAAATGATTACCGCAATCAAACTAATTAACCTACCTCACTTCACAGTTTCGCTTTTGTTGTGGTATAAACATTTGAGATTATTCTCTTGGTACTTCAATTATACATTATTATTAATTATAGTCACTATGCTGTACATTAGGTCTCCATAACTTATTTGTCTTATAACTGAAAGTTTGTACCCTTTGACCAACATTTCCCCTAACTCCCACCCCCAGCTCCTGGTAACCAACATTCTACTCTGTTACCATGAGTTTATTTATTTATTTTTTTTGAGGAAGATTGGCTCTGAGCTAACATCTGTGCCAATCTGCCTCTATTTTGTATGTGGGTTGCCACCAGCATGGCTTGACAAGTGGTGTAGGTCTGTGCCTGGGATCCAAACCCACGAACCTGGGCCACTGAAGTGGAGCATGTGGAACTTTAACCACTCAGCCAGTGGGCTGGCCCCTTCACTTTTTTTTAAGATTCCACATATAAGTGAGATCATGTAGTATTTATCTTTCTGTTTCTGGCTTGTTTCACTTATCATAATGTATTCCAGGTACACCCATATTGTTGCAAATAGCAGTATTTCTTTATTTTTAAAGACTGAATAATATCCATTATGTATATACCATATTTTCTTTATCCATTCATCCAATGATGAACACATAGATTGTTTCCATATCTTTATGACTGTGAATAACGCTGCAATGAACACAGGAGTGTAGATATCTCTTTGAGATACAGATTTCATTTTTTTAAATATATACTCAGAAGTGGGATTGCTGGATCATATAGCAGTTCTATTTTCAATTTTTTGAGGAACCTCCATATGTTTTTCATAATGGCTGTACAAATTTACATTCACAACAACAGTGCACAAGTGTTCCCTTTCCTCCATATCCTCACCAACACTTCTGTTTTGACTTTTTCATAATAGCCATCCTGACAGGTGTGAGGTGATATCTCATTGTGGTTTTGATTTGCATTTCCATGATGATTACTGATGTTGAGCACCTTTTCATGTACCCATTGGCCATCTGTATGTCTTCTTTTGAAAAATGTCTGTTCAGGTCCTTTGCCCATTTTTAATGCGGTAATTTTTTTTGCTATTGAGTTGTATGAGTTCCATATACATTTTGGATTACAATCCCTTATCAGATATGTGGTTTGCAAATATTTTCTCCCATTCCATAGGCTGCCTTATCATTGTGTTGATTGTTTCCTTTGCTGTGCAGAAACTTTTTAGTTTGATGCAGTTCCACTTGTTTATTTTTGCTTTGTTCTGTGTGTTTTTGGTGTGAAATCCAAAAATTCATGCCAAGACCAATGTCAAGGAGTTTTCCTTTGTATTCTTCCAGGATTTTTATGGTTTCAGGTTTTATGTTTAAATTATTAATTCATTTTAATTTTTGTGAATGGTATAAGATAAAGGTCCAATTTCATTATTTTGCATGTGCATATTCAGTTTGTCCAGCAACATTTATTAAGGAGATTGTCATTTTCCCATTGTGTATTCTTGGCAACTTTGTTGAAGATTAGTTGACTGTACACACATGGGTTTATTTCTGGGCTCTTGATTCTGTTCCATTGGTCTATGTGTTCGGTTTTTTTGTCAGTATCATACTGTTTTGATTACTATAGCTTTATAATATAATTTGAAATCAGAAAGTGTGATGCTGTCAGCTTTTTTTTTCTTGCTCAAGATTGCTTTAAGTACTTGGGATATTTTGTGGTTCCAAATGAATTTTAGAATTGTTTTTTATTTCTGTAAAAAACGCCATTGGACTCTTGATAGAGATTTCATTGAATCTATAGATGGCTTTGGGTAGTATGGACATTTTAACAATATTAATTCTTCCAATCCATGAACACAGGATATTTTTCCATTTATTTGTGTGTTCCTCAATTTCTTTCATCATTGTTTTATCGTTTGCCTTATACAGATCTTTCATCTCTTTGGTTAAATTTATTCCTAAGTATTTTATTCTTTTTGATGTTATTGTAAATGAAATCGTTTTATTTACTTATTGGATAGTTTATTTTTAGGGTATAGAAATGCAACTGAGTTTTTGTTTGTTTTTTTATCCTTCAACTTGACTGAATTTGTTGATTAGTTCTAAAAGTTTTTTGGTGGAGTCTTTAGGGTTTTCTATATATAAGATCATGTCATCTGCAAACAGAAAATTTAACTACTTCCTTTCTAATTTGTATGTCTTTTATTTCTTTCTCTTGCCTAATTGCTCTAGCTAGAACTTTCAGTACTATGTTGAATAGAAGTGGTGAGGGTAGGCATCTTGTCTTGTTCCTGATCTTAGAGGAAAAGCCTTCAGATTTTCACCATTGAGTATGACAGCAGCTATGGGTTTGTCATATATGGTCTTTATTATGTTGACGTACATTTGTTCTATACCTAATTTGTTGAGAATTTTTATCACGAAAGGATGTTGAAATGTGCTAAATGCTTTTTCTGCATCTATTGAGATGAACATATGATTTTTATCCTTCATTTTGTAAATATGGTGCAGGACATTTATTGATTTACATATGTTGAAACATCCTTATATCCCAGGTATTAATCCCACTTAGCCAGGGTGAATGATCCTTTTAAAATGGTGTTGAATTTGGTTTGCTAGTATTTTGTTAAGGATTTTGCATCTATGTTCATCAGGGATATTGGCCTGTAATTTTCTTTTCTTGTAGTGTCCTTGTCTGGCTTTGGTATCATGGTAATGCTGTCCTTGTAAAATGAGTTTGAAGCATACTGTCCTCTTCAAATTTTGGAAGAATTTGAGGCTATTGGTTACCTCAGTGGCAAAAGCTGCCAGTATCCTCTGTGGAGCAAACTGCTGAGGTCCACACCAACAAACACTATGGGGTCCTCTGCTGTTAAAGCAGTGGACATTTATGGGGGCTGTTGAGTTCCTCAGTGGCAAAAGCTGCCAGGGTCTTCCACAGAGCAGGCCACTGGGGACTGCATTGGCATCCACCACATGGCTGACACTGATAGCCCCTGCCCTGTTTCTTTGTTCTTAGCCTTCTCCAGATGTCTCAGCCATGTTGATCTCCCCAGCAATCCTTTCTGTGTGGTTATTCTCCATTTTTCGTTCCACTGTGTTGTTGCAGGTTCTTAATTAGACTCTTAAGCCCTCCCAGGGCTATTTTCATTCATGCATAGCTGTCTGTTCTTTTTTTTTGGGGGGGGGACAAAAGCTGGCATCTTCTACTTTGTCATCTTTCTGACATCATTCAGCAAGGTCTTTTTCTTTTTTGTATCTTGCGACAGTTTTTGGCTTAAAGCTTCTTTCATGTGATATTAGTATAGCTAGCCTTGCTCTCTTTTGATTAATATTCGCTTGGAATAACTTTTTCCATCCTTTCACTTTTGACCTATTTATGTCTTTGGTTCTAAAGTGAGTCATTTGTAGACAATATAAAGATAGATGATAATGTGTACACATTATACCAATGTCTGCCTTTTGACTGGATAGTTTAATCCATTTATATTTCAAATAATTACTCATAAGAAAGGACTTCTGCCATTTTGCTATTTATTTTCTATATATCCTTTATCTCTTATATCCCTCAATTATTGCATTACTGTTTTCCTCTCTAATTTCATTTTTTGTGTGCGCCATTTTGATTCCATAAATGGGAAAATTTAAACCAGTATTTTTCTTAATGTTTGGAGGCTGTTAAAATCTCTTCCATTTTTTTTTTTTTACTTCAGAACCTAATCTGTAGGTTCTGAAGTAAAAAATATGTGACAGTAGTCACATATTATAAATGCCTGATATGATTAAAAATTCTTTGATCAACCCTCCCAAATATTGCATGGAACACTTTGATTCAAGGGAACACAGTTGGAAAATTATCAATTTAACAACTGTAATTTTTTCCTAGGAGTTGTCTTGCAGAGTCTCGCTGGGTTCTAAAATAATATAGTTTCATAGAGTTGAACTAGATGAGTCCTCAGAATTCAAGTGGGTTCTTGTTTCTCTAATTATATCACCAATGCAGGCAGTGGTTTCCTAGTCTTAAAGATATCCATGGCTGGCGATTTCACAAACTCCTTCAATAGACTATCCTACCCTTAATTTACCTTTATCTCTGAGTCCTTTTTAAGATTATCTTGAATATATCTTTTGTAATGGAAGGTTATTTGCTCCTGTTTTTGCCCTCTTCTTGCCCTACTGGCATTTCTACTTTCTTCTGTTTTTAGCCTTTATGAAGTATCCTTACCTTTTGAAGTTTGAAGTATATCTTACCTTTTGGTTTGGCTGTTGTGGGAGTGTAAAAATAGACTTCCAATAGGTCCAGGTAAAGAACACAAAGATGGCATGGTAGAATATGAGGTAGATAACTGAAATTGAAGAAAAAAAATCAGTGTTTATATTATCTTTTTGTCCATTTCTAAGAGTTCAGGAAGACATAAAATGCTCAACAACAAATTTCTATTTCGTTTTCCTATTACCAAGTATTTTCTAGTATTATAATGAAATATTAATTCTTACCTTTTTCCTAAGCAGTGACAGAAACAAGTTATAATGCCAAATTTTGAACCAGAGACTTTGTGGAAGTTGCATGTTTTAAAAGTTGCCATGTGATTCTGAGAGTAAAGTGAAAATGTCCTTTATGACAATGTGGGTGAAGCTACCGTAGCCAATTGTCATTATCTCTATCACTGTGGGTGCTGCAGGATGATAATGATAGTATTTGCACAGCACTACAGAGTTTACAACATGCTTTCATAATATTATCTCATTATATTTTGTAAATAACTTCATGAGATACGTAATAGGATAGGATAGTTGATTAACTATCAAGGGTAGTTTATTATCCAAAGTCATACAGCTACTATATAATACAGCCAGGTCTTAAAGACAAAACTTCTGACTCTAAATCACAAATTCTTTTCAGTAGCCCCAAAGACTACACACTTTTGAAATGTGAGTTGTACCTTTGAGACAGTTGTAAAAGTGGCTCCCCACTGCTTTTCTTTTTATACTGTTTGCCTCCTAGATAACTCTTCTGATATGAGAAATTTCAGTATTCTCCACAGAGTTCATTACAAGACTGAAAGTCAGTTTACTGTTTCATTGTGAGTCTTTGCATGGGAAGATCTTATTACTTTAATCCATCAGAAAGACTGAAGGGAATGAGGTGACTCAAGACCAAGTTAATAGGGCTGAGCCTCTCATATATATACGGCTGAACTGAAAAAAGCTGCAATCTCTTGGCCCAGTGCTCCCAGCCCTATGGTATAAGACCTCTTTTTACGTGCTTGATTTGTGTAATTCAGAATTCCCATTTTCAAATTCAAGCAATATAAAGTAAAATATAAAGGTTCATTCCACACATACATCTAACCTCCCATCTCCCCCTCCTAAGGCATAATACCTATTTGGTGTGTATCATTCCAGATATCCTCATTTTTATATGTTTATATAAAATATATAACTATATCAACACTATACATATGGAATTTTTATAGTATTTAAAAATTTTTCATTGTATTTTTTTTTTGAAAGCTAGTATATTCACAAGGTTCAAAATTTGAAGGTATAAAATAGTACACAGTAAAAAGTTTCCCTTCTATCCCTGTCCCTCAGCCACCCAGTTTCCCTCCCTGGAAGCAACAAATGTCACAGTGTCATGAATTTATTCTGTACCCTTTCAGATTTTATACACATAAAAGCACCAAAACAGTGTGCTTTTTCACACAAATAGCAGTATTCTATACACACTGCACCTTATTTCTTTTTCACTTGTTATAAGTTGGAGATCATTCCACTTATAACTTGGAGAGAGTGAGCTTCCGCACTCTCCTTTTAAAAAGTTGCATGGGATTCCATTGAATGAATGTACCGTAATTTATTTAACCACACTGTCTCTGATGAAAACTTAAATCTTCCCTCTGCTTTTGCTAATACAAATAATGCTATAACGAATAACTTTATATATATGTTATTGGCACATGTACTAAAAGTGTCTATAGGATCAACTCCCTGAAGTGGGATTGCTAGGCCCAAACATAGACCTTTTGGTAGATATTGCCATTTTAAAAGTTTTATTTACTTTACAGTCTCATCAGCAATGAATGAGAGTGACTCTTCCTCCACAACCTGGCCCTCGTGAAGCGTTATTAGAATTTTCGATCCTAGGCAAGATTTTTAAATGTTTCTTTATGTGTTATCTTTTGCTATGTTTTGTTTCTTTGATTTTATGTGGTTTATATGGGGAAGATTCCATGACTATCAAGTTAGAAAGGACATATGTTAACTGCTGTTCCTTCAGTATGGAATGGGAGTGCGGAATTTTTGGTTGCAAAGAAATTAGGAGAAAATAATTTCATGTTTATCCTCCCATTGCGCACTTCAAAGGTAATAAGTTTCAGCAATTTGGATCACCTGAATGGTGAGAACTAAGCTCTTACACTTGGTAGTACTTTAAGGGTGTTTATTTTTGTTCCAATGATTGAGATAGGAAGTGGGACTTGAACTTCTTCCAGGTCATACTACAAATTAACAACTGGTTTAATCATGGAACTGAAAACAGCTAGCTCCCATTCCTGTATTCCAAGGTTTCATAGAAGTTATAAGTATATTTTTATAAAGGGTGGAAAATGAGAGATTATGAGGTTAAATGACTAAGTCAAAGTCATTCAGTAGATTGGTAGAATAGGGACTATACTATAGATTTCATAAAAATCTTAGAGTTGGGTGAGAACACAGAGATCATCTAGTTCAACCTCCTCATGTTATACACAGATAAAATATACATTTTATACACAGAGAGGGTAAATGACTTGATCAGGGTTACCCAGCAAAGTTACGGAAGCAATGGAACCAGAATCCAGGTTTCCTCACTTCCAGTCCAGAGCTCTTTTCTTTAGAGCAGTGGTTCTCAAATTTCAATGTGCATCAAAATCACCTTGGGAGACTATTAGAATGCAGATTCTTAAGCTCTACACCAAATATCCTGAATCAGCGGTCTGAGATGGAGTCCAAGAATTTAGAAACTCCCCCAGGTGATTCTGAGGCAGACGGACCATGAGAAACAGGGCCATTTGGTTGTTCAGTCTACCAACCCAAGGAGGAAGCTCCGCTCCAACATCCTTGGCAGGGAATTACCACATCTCTGCCACACTTCACTCTGCAGTGAGTATTATTGAATTATGGATAGGCCCCACGATTCTCAATTTTATGTTTCTCTCTATATATATGATGCTCGTAAGCCATGGTCCCAAATGTGTGGAAGTCCATTCTTTTTCTGCCTTAAAGAATGAGCAACATATTTTTTTATAATTAATTATTTTATACCTAGAATAATCATCCTTATATACTGCAGGGACACTGAGTCTTTTTTTGTGTGTGTGAGGAAGATTAGCCCTGGTCTAACATCCGATGCCAATCCTCCCCTTTTTGCTGAGGAAGATTGGCTCTGGGCTAACATGTGTGCCCATCTTCCTCTACTTTATATGGGACGCTGCCACAGCATGGCTTGACAAGCGGTGCATCAGTCCGCACCTGGGATCTGAACCTGTGAATACCCGGCTGCCAAAGCAGAGCATGTGAACTTGACTGCTATGCCACCGGGCTGGCCCCTGAGACTTTCTTTTTAAGTGTGACACTCTAGTGAGTGTTCAGGTCACTAGAGAAATCAAACAGCTTATGAACTGTATCCCTGTACTGTCACTACTCATTAACATTAGAATGAAATGGGAAAACATCTTTTATTTTTGGTGAGGGAGATTGGCTCAGAGCTAACATCTGTTGCCAATCTTCCTCTTTTTGCTTGAGGAAGACTGCCTGAGCTAATATCTGTGCCAATCTCCTATTTTGTATGTGGGACGCCACCACAGCATGGTTTGATGAGCAGTGTGTAGGTGCGTGCCTGGGATCTGAACCTATGAACCCTGGGCCGCGGAAGTGGAGCACGCAAACTTAACCACTACACCACTGGGCGGCCCCGGAAAACATCTTTTTTAAGCAAAAAGGCACAGTAAAGCCCTTCGCTTATCTGGTAGTGATCACAATCATGGGGCATCAGAAGCTGCTGGAGCTGTGATTACCACATGAAAGCCAAAAGCCTTTCAAGTTTTTTTTTTTTTTTTCCTTCCACAATGTGCAAAGGTTTTCAGAAGCAGAAATCAGACATAAGGAACATGACCAGCTGCCAAAGAAAAATCCACCTAAGCATGCAGTTGTAACGAATTCAGTCACTGTGTTGCAATGGCAATATCCCATTAAGGGAAGAGCTTCTGAAATGAGAATGACTACTTGAGACTTTCCTGAAATAATGATTCATAAATACTTTGATAAAAATTATAGAATCTGAAACTACATGGTGAAAGTAGCAGAAAGTTGCTATTAGCAAAATCTTTGGCCAGTAGGATGCTTTTCCTAGGTGTTGCTTCCAGGAACTAATGGGAAGTCAGTGATTTTCTTTGTATATGTGTGTGTGCACATGCATACCATTCTTGTGTGAATAATAATGAATGCAGCAAGATGAGCACCAAAATGGGGAACAGAGAAAATAATGAAGCTTGACTACATATTCAGACACATAAAGGCTAAAGCTGTTACTGGGGCAATTATATAACAAACCTCTTTTCTTACGAAGCTATTTTTGGAAACTATGTATAGTTTAAAAAGACATTGTTTTCTGTAATATCTTTTATATCAATTGATGACTAAAAGCAATTGAGTTGGCAAAGGGGGTAATGGGGAGAGGAGTGTACCTTTTAACTACATACTATAATTCAAACAGGAACTGCAGCTGTAGCTTCAGCAATTGAAAGAGTCCTCACTGAAATCCCCATTTTGGCTCAACATAGAAATCCCCAGAATATGATCAGGGCAAATTTGTCAGCTGGATAGTTATTTCTCCTTTTGAGTAGGACACCTAGCAACGACGTATTGACTCCAATATTTGAGTTCACTGACTTACTTTACTTTCACTGTCTTAAAAGTCCTAACACAGAGCTGGACCTTGTCTCTTAGCTATTTAAAGGAGTATTTGGAGAGAACGGGGTTAGAGGCTCATAGGTTGTAACTAAGGAGCTAAGGATAGTTCATGAGAATATAAGAATTATTCAAGAGTTGTTTCCATGATTTAGCTACCCTCTAGAAGAATACAACATTTTGTCAAGAGTTATTCCAAGGTTTAGCCAGCTACCCTCTAGGAGTCTCTCTGATGGTGGGATCAAATTCTAGTGCCAACATATGGCATCATCTTTTGAAACAGCAAGGTTTTCCTTATTGATATAAACTTTAAAAGTTAGGGTTGTCTCCCAAGTATCCTAATTTCCCTTAATTATCCATTAGGCATCTACCACTTATCAATTTATATAAACCTTTT